TCACAGAATATACGTACAAGAAACTTCAAAGTAGCACTGTTTGCAACAGAAAAAATTAACGTTTCAAATGCTCATCTATAGAAGAATAAATAAAATAGTGGTTAATTCAAATAATAGTAATTCTGCACATCAGTGAAAATAATGTAATTTTTTGCACATAGCAGTAAAGTGGAGACACTCAAGCCAATAAATAGGCATGACACAGAAACATTTAGTTGCATGCTACCATCTGTGTAAGCTTCACATTTAGCCAAGGTTACCCTGTAACGTTACTTCCATCTGAAAAATAGTCATAGGAAAACCTGCAGTCCTGGTCATGTCAACCATATTTCAGGTTGATGCTGATACATAAGTGTGTTTATTTTGTGGAAACTATTCTAACTGTACACTTAGGTTTTAGGTACTTTTGTGTATGATATTTCTCAATTCAAAGTTGAAAATGCACCCACACATGCACAAGCACTCAATGTATGGGAACTTGCACGTGTGTGTGTGTATGTGTGTGTGTGCACGCGCGCATGTATGTGTGCAAAAGCAGAAGAGAGAGAACTATGAAACAGTGTTATACATGCATATTTTAAAATCAGCTTATATTTCCTTTATATTTTTATAAATATAGCTTTTATATTTTCTTTAAATCTCTTTCGTTTTTGCCTTGTTTCCCTTATATCTGTTTCATGAGGAAACATTTCTCTAAGTTTGAGAAAATGATATATTGACTTGAATGACATCAGTAGAGGCTTTTGCAAGCCTCTGTCCTGTCCTTCTATTCTATTCAATCCTTAGTAAAATGTTAAGTTTAAGTAGTGCAACAAATAAGCTGAAATAAAACCAGTGGCATGTGTCTGAAAACCATTCCTGCTTGATCTACTGTATAAATTTTGTGTAGGAATTATTGGAATGTTATCGTATAACATTTTTCAAAAAGAGAATACAAAATGGTAAAGAAGAAAAAAATCCAGAAATGATACAGAAGTTACTACATAACATTAAGGCAGCATTACTAATTGGCTGTTTCATCATCTGTGACAAAACAGCTACCTAAAGCACAGGGGGAAAGAACCCGTCAAATAGGGCAAACAAAGAGGAGAATTTGAGGTATACAGTAGTAGTCTTTCAGTTACTCTTTTGTATTCAGCAGCAGAATATTTCCATTAGCACACTCTACAAATGGACTTCTCTTCCACCCT